CTGTAACCAAACCAAAGAGAGGTAATTAATTTGTGCACTCAGTCATGAATATTGAATACACAGATATGAAATTACCTCAGAGTGCATCACAGATTTTTGTTCAATTAAGTCAGCTACGACACACACTTTCACATACGAAATTTGTTTTCGATTTGTGAGTCATTTCTCATACCGTGCTCGTTGAAATGAAATATAATATAATTGTTGGCACCGCAAGTAACTTGTCATTGTATAATTTGTCATAAAACAGGAACTTATCAGATTGTAATCAATGTACAACCTCACATATAACTTTCAAAGTTTCTGTGTCATAGCGTGTCTATTGTTTTTGTATTGCTCAATGTCATCAAAGTGTTAGTTGCAGATTGATTGTTTTCATATTATATTCTTACTCCTATTCAAAATATCATACCTTCTTTAACATATCATACAATGATTCGAGCATTTGCTATTGAATTGACAGCAATAGTGTGGTTTCTTTTAAATTTGAAAAACTTCACGTAACGATTGTGTTCAGTCTCGTCCGAAGTATATGGCTTTGAGCCGCAAGGCTTAAAGCAAATAAAAAATAAAATACATCTGCATCCTCCTGGAGAGTTCAGACCTTTTCCCAAGGGAGATAAGTATAGTGGGCCCCGTTCTCATTTGTGGTTGTTCCTGATAGTATCGACCTCTCTTACGAATCAATGGTCGACAATAATTGCATCATTTTGATGAACAAACGTTATTGAAATTCGTTTCACTCTGTGCAGAATATTGAATTCTGTAACGGATTTTTACTTATTCATTTACGTGTTCGACGCAGGAACAATAAGGACAGTTTACCACAGTACCTGACTCCGACTACAACATGAATTCCAATCGTTGTTCTGTGAATTTGTGAAGTGGTACCCACACACTGGAAGGGGTCTCTACAAGGTGATTTGAAAGCATATCCAAATACAACAAACTTGTCAATATGTGTATGGTTACTATTTAACTAAATCAGTAAAATGTCTTAGATTTTATCTGCCTGATAAGATCACAATGCATGCATGGGAAAATATCAAGACTTTACCTTTACTGCGTTTAACACCAGACATAGAAAAGAAACTTTTGATTTTTCCTAGTGATTTGGATAAAGATATTAAGGTTGAATGTGACTTAAGAATCAACCTGATCTCCTCTGAAAAGCTTTTCTTTTTAATTAATTAATTGATACAATAGTAAAACACATGTAATATCTAAAGCTAAATAAGAGAAATACCTCCTGTTCTATTTATGGGTTTGGTGACTTCTCTCCCACGACAGATATATATTTACTGAGATCTTAATCTGCTGGGATTATTATCTTATTTTGTGACGATAAAACCGATCCACACCTATTCTACCTAACTATGTGTCATCGTAGATATAGTCATCCCTGTAGATCAATTTATTACGGTTCCAACTCATTGAACTGTTACACACATATACGATTGATGACGTCTGTCTTTGGCAATCAACGACTTGAAACCATGATGGGAGCCACATGTGGTGAGGAAGAGCTTTCACTTCCAGAATAAATTGTTCCACTCATGTTTGTATGGGTGTCCGATATCATGATGACTTTTTTCAATGTCTGTTTAATTTCATTATTTCCTAATTGCAATCATTATTGGGCACATATAGGAGAAAGAGATATATTGATTTTGGTCTAGTTTAATTTTTTTAACGTCCTATTAACAGCTAAGGTCATTTTAGGTCGTGCCTCCATGTGTGTAGTGTATGCGTGCTTGCGTGTGAGTATGTAGGAGACAGGATATGTTGTTGTGCTTGCCTCCTTGTGATAGCGCGGTTCTAATGCCGACTTTATAGAGATATCTCACTGAAATGCCGTGCCGAATGCACCAATCACAGCATTCCGCCCGGTCACATTATGCTGACAACGGGTGAACCAGCTGTAACCATTCCCCTTAATGCTGAACGTTAAGCAGGGAATAACAATGAACATTTTTAAGGACTTTGGTATGTCCCGGCCTGGGGACAGAACCAATTGCCTTCCTCACCTGGGCGAACACTCAACAGTCAAGCCAAAAGGTGTTGCCAAGCAAGGCGCTAGGAAATAAAAGGTAGTAAGAAGTAGAAAGAATGATAAAGATCCCAAATATTGCAATGGGCGCAGCAGATTTATTATGGTCGCTTTTGTGACCCAAAACGAGGACACCAAAGCAAATCCCCAATTATGCAGGGGGTTCCCGAATTAGTCGCCTCCCACGATACATGCAATGGGTAACAGCAGGTGTATTCTTTTTCCGATCCCCAGCCTGCAGGGGTGTGGTTAAATTAATTATATATAGTGTATCAACTATTGACTGAAATAATTGCAGCTTTGTGATGGCATAATCATTTTAATGGGTATTTGGATCAGTGTGATACAACTTTCGACTGGTGTATTTGTTACCTACATGTATTAGCTATTGCTTTCTATATTTGGACTGGCTGGTGTATTACCTATTGTTCTGGTGGCATTGAAGCTTTATTGTATAAAGCAATTATTACTTTTGTCTTTACAGAGAAAAACAATTTGGCAGTCTTCCAAGTAAATAAAATCAGCGAGATAATAGGGATATACTTTCTCGTGCCAGTAAAAACGCTTCTAAGGTAACTGTTTTGTGGCTCGGAAACTGGCAAATGACAGCATGAAGATTATTAAATATAGAGTAAAAGGTAAATAGAGTAACAGGTAAAAAAAAAAGTTACAAGTAGTCGTTCGTGCATTTTCAACAGAAAGTAACAAATATATTTATCATAGATGAATTTTCCCCGGGTCTGTTTTGTTACCTGATTATATATTTTAAAAGTTTCGTTCGGTCTTGTGCATATTTCCAGATCATGTCGGTATTTGATATACAAAGTCGCTATAAACACAAGACACACTACATAAAACTAGTACATGTCTCAAGTTGTTTTTAAACATCATAGACAGAACGGATACAGTAAAAACTATATCCCTCGCGATCGGTATTTGAGGTCAACCCTTTGATCTTTTAAATAGTAAACTTGGTTGAGACAATCTCAAGAAAAGACAGGAAATACCCGATTTGTTATAATTATCTCCCATAGTTCTACGGCCTCGAGAATTAGTTAAGCGGCCTGATCCCACACAGATAGTTGTGACAGTTTAATAAAAAAAAAATGAAATGATTTAAGATAACACTGGTTCAGTTGGTGGTGTGTGCTGTCCGCCAGCTTTTGACTGGAATATGTTAACTGGACGGTAAACATGTATCCCTCTTAAAGGTTAATATCCCAAAGATTTTTGTTTTGAGTATGTCATAAGTTGTCGCTTATAGTGTGATATTTTCTAATCTACATGCAAAAGGCGTGCAATGTGAAAAGGGACATTAATGTGTACAATAAAAGTTCAATTGTCATTTATTATTGACGCTTATATAGTGGTAAAATAACATAGATTCGATATGATTAAAGATAAATAATTGTAGTTCAGTATCGTCCAATCGTGTAAATAACTGTATTGCCCAACAAGACCAAATGATTAGGTCAAAGTTATTATAACGTCTCCTTACCTACATGTACATATATATATAATATCATAGATTCACTAGACTGTTAAAAATATAATATACGTTCAATATTAATTACAACCTATTGCTGGGTTTGTAGCTTTCCACGTGCCATAATGAAGTGAGTATTAGTGTCTACGGCAACCTCTACGAGTCATACATTTAGTATATGTAATTCAATTTGAAAATTCATATCAATCATATTAATATCATGGAAAAGCATATTCCTTATAACATTATAATTTGTACGTTCGAAGAAAACGGTTATCAATATCTTAAGCCAGATAAAGATCGGAGCGTGGAGGACTGCATTGATCTATATTTCGCCCATTCTAGTAACTGGTCACTTTTAAGAGATGCGAAGGGTTCCTGAGGAAACGACAGAGGGATTTTACAAGTCTTCAATGTACAGTTGCACATTTTAGTAACTGTGGAGATGCATAGAGATAATTTGGGAGCAGAAAGACAGGGAATCTAAATAAAATGAAAAGCAATGTGATGTTTACAAAAAGTGCAACTGTGAAATTACTGACCGTAGTAACTTGGAGAAGATAAAAGTGCGATAAATTGAAATTGATGGGTTTGTTTAACCGAAGAAATGGATTAGACTTTACAAGTCCCGTTTTTGCAGTCGACATTTATGGTAACATGGGAGAAGGATTTAGGTTGAGTTGTTTGGGAGAGAGGGGTCAGGTAACAGGAAATAGTACAGGGATTTTACAAGTACAGATAAACAGTCAAAGTGATCAATATCTTCGAGAACCTCGCATTGTATCTTTTTAAAAAGCTATTGACATGAAATAATTATCTGTAGAAATTATCAAATCAGAAATGATTTTGATTGGATTTATTCATCCGAAATAATCGCTGATTGTGTTAAAGGCCTGTGTTGAGTGATTGAATGGATAGTGTCGTCTGCTTTGATAGGTCATCGGGTATATCACCGTGTTCTCAAGGGTATCAAATGGCGGGAAAAAACTACTAAGACACTGGCTGTAAATATAGATATATGTTTAAACTTGATTGATTCATCACCCTCCAAAATAATACTGCTCTCAATTTCAAACATTAAACCCATTTTATATTTAGTATTATTATAATTTAAATAAGTTATATAAGTTTTAATTTTCTAGGTAACTTAAGTATGTTATTAAATGAAATATCATATAAAATGCAAAATTGACATATATACCTGCAGCGCAGATTTAGGTATTTTTTTCGATTTCGTTAAAGATTTTAATATTCATTCCAAATACACACATACATATTGCTACTCAGAGCAAAATAACGGTGGTGTAAGCTTGTTACTTTATCTACAAATGTTGACTTTTAGCGAACATAACTTATTGATATATATATATTATATATTTAAAAGGTACAACATCAATACTGATGGAAATAAAAGGAAGTTGAGTGCCTATGTTTTAGAAGTAGGTTGTTCTGTGAACGTTGCTAATGGTAGTTTGGGAACAAACATGTCTACAGACAATCTTTCATACTGGTTTGGATATGTACTGCAAGAGAGCAGTGGACAGAATAACTTTCCCTTACTTTTCAGATTATGTAGAACGCATATCCAAGTATAAAGTAAGATACAGTGAATATGACGCGACATATGACAAAACGAATAAGGTCAAGGTAAAAACAAATCATTTTGTAGTTGCAGTGATCATAAAATGGTCTGCCCTACAGTTGTATGCACAAGACAGCAACCGAAATTTGCATTTGTATTTCATTTTAATAATTTCATTTTTTTAATAAAAAAAAATGCATTTTTCATATACAGGTATACTACACCATTGATTCTTGTACACAATCTGGAGAGGCAGTGTCTTCATGTTGCCATAACAACACACCATTGTCAACCATTGTACCTCGCCCCGTCATAGGAAGAGCGGGAATGGGTGGGCGGCTGGCCCCGCTTGAAGAGGGGCCAATTCTGTCTGGTTTGTTCAAATTATGACTGATAAAGCTTGTGGCGGGAATGCTAGACACATTATTATGATGAGTTTTGCCCCTATAGGAGCGGTTAGGATGAGGCGATTGCACTTTGCCAGTTACAACAGGTGTACGTCGATACGTACTGTCGTAAACACTAGAACTACGATGTGAAGTGTCACTGTGATGAGATGAACTAACGTACTGGTCCTGTAACTGTCTGGATGTCTTGTCGAGCACGTCCGGCATTTCATCTACAGCCACCTCTGGTGGCTCTATGATCGGCTCCCACTCCTCTAGTTGGCTAAGCCAGGTTTGAACACTTTGGGTGGCTGAGGATTTATCTTTTGGCAAGGAATGGAGGTTGACAAGAGAGACAGGCTGTGCCCAGGTATTGGCGTCCTCGGAGTCGAAGGAGAGCATGGTTGACCAGTCTGTGTCGTAGTAGTAGCTGTAGCTGATGTACTCTGAGTCATCTGACGACTCCGAATCGTCCGGGTCGTACTCCTCCACGGAGTTACTCAGAACGTGCTTGGCTTTGGGAGATCCAAAAGCTTTGGACCCCTCGATCCCATTACATTCATTAGGAAATAAAGGAATATCTTTTGTTTTCCTTAATGAGAATTGTTTAACCAATAAATTGTCTCTTTGTTTCGGAGCCCCTCTATCCGACAGTGTTCCCTGTGTCGGAATGTGTTGCACTCCATTAGTTGACTTCCGGTGTTTGGTAGACGACCGCGGTAACACTGTGCCCCCTGGCGACGCCAGGCTGTTGTCAGGATAATCGGGAGGCAATGTGCCCTTTTTACTCTGTCGGTTACTTTGGCTACTGATATTAAGTGTGTTGGTATTTCTACTATTGCTGGATGCCACGTCGCCACTACTTCCGGTCAACCCTATTTTTCTTGGAGATTTATCAGATTGAGTTAAAGAATCATCTGCAGATTTCTTCTTCTTGGAACTCTTTTTATTAGAGTGTTTCAAAGAAGTGTCTAAATTCGGCGATGATATACTATGAAACCCTTCATTGTCATATCCTGTCAGATGTCCATCTTCAATTTGTATAGATTCTGGAAAGTGGCTGCCGTTTTCAAGGTAGCTCTGGTCATGTGATCTGTGATCAGCATTGTGATTATTTGTCTGCGGAGACGTTATGGCCTGTTTTGTGATGTATAAGGCTAGATCCATTGTGTCCACTGATATAGGATCGTCTGAATCGACCCAATGGATACAGCCACAACTTGACGACTTTAAAATAACTCCAAATATAAAACTTACGATGATTAATGAAACAATACACAATTTGAATAAATAATCTCCATCGAATGCAACCATCCAAACTGCTGTCATTGTGACGTTTTCTATGACAACAGCACTGTAATAAAACACATTCCTACAACTAACCTTACTGGACTCCCTCTCGACAAGGTCAAATATGTTCAGGTATGAGGTGAGGCCATTTTTTATCTGACTCCACACGCCACAACCATTCGTATACCCCGAGTAAATAGAGGTTATCAGAATATACACAAGGAAATGGCCACCTATAGGCACCAAAATCCAATAATGGAAAACCGACATGAACAAGATGAATGATCCACACCTTGATATCAGCATAAGGAACGTTCCGAACACTAGTAAACATATTCCAACGGGCTTCCGAGCTCGAGCTTTCCATTCCAAGAATTCCTCGGAATCAAATAAATACTTCCCAAGATTAAAGGTTGCTAAGGCTATGGCACTGGATACAAGGAACAAAAACAACGAAAACACGGACTCGGAGTCGAATAGGTTAGAAGTGAACATGTAGTAACCGGAAGTGACGACAAAAGGTAAACTCTGTAATGCTGTATGAATGAGCCTCAAACCCAGGTACTCCTTCCAGTCGGATTCGTCGTAAAGAATGAGCAATTTGAGGCAGCGCCAGATCAGGCCCAGCTGACAAGAGTGGAGGAGAACACAAAGGCATCTGCCGCATGTCTTCCCGGAGAAGTCCATGGTGCGGAGAACCATAACGGCCGACACGATATTCACGATCACAAGAGATCCGAGCACGTAGGACAGGCTCAATCCCGCCAGTACGGACGAGACTTCCCAAAGACGCCAACACACGTGAAGCTGGAGACCCGTCTCTATCAGGTATATCAGCATACCGAACACAGCGAAGAATATCCCCATCGTGACGTATGTAACTAGAAGAAACGATTGTCAGCAATGGTTAATGTCAATCACGTCTGAACTACCACATATTGGACACGTGCGAACAGGGTTGCGTGATATCATCACATGGTCACTAACTTCTAAGTAGGTAATTTTGCAGGATCATTTTGTCAAGTATGCACATCGTTCATGCTTTGTCGGTGTCTCGCACACGCGATGGAGGACAGTCTTGTTTCAAAAAGCCATCACAGCAATAATAATCCGAGTGTTGTGGTACATTGTGACTTCAGCCCATTAATATGTCAACATCCAATCCGTAATGAAGATCATGCGTTACTGTGTTGGTTCCGTTAACGTACCTTTCCAACATTTTCAACCATCACCGACAACTTATTTCCCTGTGTGAATTATTTAAGTACACAACGTCTACCTACATACTTGATGTAGGTTCCTATGTCGAGTAATGCGTTATTGATATCGTGTAATAGTCCACTTATTTGTAGTTTATTTTTCGATAACAATCGTTCACTGTATAATCACATCCTATAGCAGGTTTTTTTACCTGCTATATACAGTACTACTTGTGTTAATGTGCTATCGTCATTGCTCTAACGTTGACCTAATCAAGTTAATCTAGAGCTAGCTGGACGACACTATCGCTCGTCTCGTCTGACCCTGGGCCGTTCCTAATACCACCTCCCCGCCACGCCTTGGGTGAGCATTGTTCTCCGTGATTGGGCGTCTGTGTACCCGAGACAATGCAAAAATCAATGTTAAATTCACGAGAGAAGGCGACTCATTGCGCTTGGTACCCAGCCCCGGGCCATTGTTGTTGGAGTACCTGTGTAAATCATCAGAGGGATTTAGAACGAGATATGTATATGATACGTTGGCGTGGCTACAATACGTGTATAGGTAGAGTAAGATCCTATCGTCGTCACCAGTCTAATATTGCACAGTAGTTAGCACGGCTCGCTGATCTTCTTCAACAACGTCAACCTGGAACGAAACGGATATAAATATTACAGTGGGTATATGTGGGTAATCCCGCTGGGATATAACTGGTAAACAGATTTGTGATAATCCGTAGATCGATTTAAGTGAACAATGACCGCACCAAGTAAAGTTATAAATGTACGTACACTCCAGCAGGGTGGATTAAAGCTGGTATGTAGCACTAAACCTTATTTATGTACGAGGCGGAACTAATGAGTGTCAATACCTGGGCGGGATACCTCACACTTATCCTAGTCTGGGGAACATACCTGCTATTGGATATAGAGCTTTGATATCATTGAGAGGGCCTCACTACAAAAGTAATAAAGAGTTGTAATACTACATTTGATGCTTCAATAATACGATCTGTCACCAAAGAATGGATTCTTTTAATATATTGTATGATCCACCACTGAGATAGATCTCTCAGAGGAATAGCTGTGGTCGGTTTCACACTTACAGATGCGAACAATACAAAAACATTCACAGGTAATTAGATAGATGATAACAGTTAAGTAACATTCCGTACAACTATCCTGGGTACAGCCAGGATTACGCTGGCAACATGTATCATTCTGAAGATATAAGTAACACACACACACACATAGGTGATTGTATCATTGTAATTTGTAATCGATACAGTATACCAAAACTAAATGACACTGCCCCATACAACTGTCACCCTAGCCTATAGCTAGGGCTCATCGGTTTCCCGATTCGTCTAACTAGCTTTGCGTCTGAGTAAATATGTTGCCAAAATTATCACAGTGTTTAAAACAATGAATAAAGATAAAATTATTTTCATATCAATGACAAGAGAACATCATCACTAGAAATACGGTATAAAGGACTATTAATGAACAAAGTAGACAAGGTTACAGCAACATATACCCGTGTCGTCTATTCATGATTTAGTTGTGGTACTGAGTGTCGACATAATTAATATATGTATAGTGCACTGTAACCGTGTCCGGGATATAGGTAGGAATGCGGTGAAGGGGAAACGGTACCTATAAACCTTTTATAACGTGGTACTGAGTGTCGACATAATTAATATCTGTATAGTGCACTGTAACCGTGTCCGGGATATAGGTAGGAATGCGGTGAAGGGGGAACGGTACCTATAAACCTTTCATAACGTGGTACTGAGTGTCGACATAACTAATGTCTGTATAGTGCACTGTAACCGTGGCCGGGATATAGGTAGGAATGCGGTGAAGGGGGAACGGTACCTATAAACCTTTCATAACGTGGTACTTACTGAGTGTCGACATAATTAATGTCTGTATAGTGCACTGTAACCGTGTCTGGGATATAGGTAGGAATGCGGTGAAGGGGGAACGGTACCTATAAACCTTTCATAACGTGGTACTGAGTGTCGACATAATTAATGTCTGTATACACTGTAACCGTGTCCGGGATATAGGTAGGAATGGAGTGAAGGGGGAACGGTTCCTATAAACCTTTCATAACGTGGTACTGAGTGTCGACATAACTAATGTCTGTATAGTGCACTGTAACCGTGTCCGGGATATAGGTAGGAATGCGGTGAAGGGGGAACGGTACCTATAAACCTTTTATAACGTTATAGATTTACAACTCTAGTCTACAACAAAGAATTAATACATAGCCAGGTTTGTGAGACAAACCGTGCCAGAATTACTTCCAGGTACATAAAAACCTCACTTTTAAAACAACATTATGATCAGGAATAGAGCCAACCCATGTTCACAAAAGGAAATTAAAATTCAACACTACTCGACAACAGACACGTTATATAAAATAAATCAAAATATATCCCGAAGTCAATCTTTTATGTGCGAGATTTCTTTTCAATGTTTTGAATTGAAAATGTGCATTAAAATTATCACCATTAGATAATATGTGGCTAATGCACATATCATTATTTAATGTGGCTTTTAAACAAATTTGATTTTTTGATATCATTAAAATTGTAAGGTGCAATAATCGTGCGTCCTACAGCCTATTTCTATACAGACACGGGAACAGACCTGTTCGGTAATGTTGATACATATATACGTCAGGGTTTGTTTTAATACATACAGGGAGGTATTTCTATTGATTTCTATTCATACTCACGTTCTATTATGTCATTCATAATACTTTCATCATTCATATTTACTTTCTTTTCAGAACAAATGTTTAAATTATTTGCACCTGCATTTACAGGTAACACATGAAACATTTCCCTTTCAAATGCATACCATTGACCACGAGGAAGCGTCAGTCAATTACTGACAAAGGCCCCCTTCCCTTCGTCATCAGACTTAGCCCTACTGGGACTCGTATTGCCCGTCACAGGACTGTCAATGGTAGCCTCATTCACACACCCAGTTCCCACTATCTCTTATTAACTGGACTAAAGTATTCCCATATTTAAAAAATGACTGGAAGGGGAAAACACATTTCTAACCTGTGTAAAGATTTGTGATGATAAAAGAATTAAAAGTCTAGTATTGGTTTTATAAGTAGCCAAAAGACCTTGCCGAGGACGAGTATCCCCTTACCATGCACGCTCTCACACCGGCGCCCCCTATCTCTGCCCATTCCTGAGGACTTGGGTACAATGACAACTTCCACTTCTTCTACACATGTAGTGGTAGTGTAAGGTGTAGGTACAAATACAGGCATTGACGTCTGTATACATAGTCATCCACATGTCAATGTTAAACAGGGTGTAAGGTACCTACTAGACTGGGGCTTTACGTACTTGTCCTGAAAGATGATGTATACCCACCGGACGAGTGTTAAGGCACTCGTGAAAGCAGTTTTTACATACGTGTATATAGAAAACTTCTACCCGAATTGGTTAGGGTACTTCCAGGGGAAAGTCAGAGAACAGGATATTTCTAAACCTGTACCTTACACGTCAGCCAACACACCTTGGTCAATAAATCACTAAAAAATGGTCAATGGAACACCAAACAATGGTCAACAGAACACCAAACAATGGTCAACAGAATACCAAACAATGGTCAACAGAACACCAAACAATGGTCAACAGAACACCAAACAATGGTCAACAGAACACCAAACAATGGTCAACAGAACACCAAACAATGGTCAACAGAACACCAAACAATGGTCAACAGAACACCAAACAATGGTCAACAGAACACCAAACAATGGTCAACAGAACACCAAACAATGGTCAACAGAACACCAAACAATGGTCAACAGAACACCAAACAATGGTCAACAGAACACCAAACAATGGTCAACAGAACACCAAACAATGGTCAACAGAACACCAAACAATGGTCAACAGAACACCAAACAATGGTCAATGGAACACCAAACAATGGTCAATGGAACACCAAACAATGGTCAATGGAACACCAAACAATGGTCAATGGGACACCTACCATGGTCAATAGAACACCAAAATATGGTCAAGTCAAAAGAATGCTTAACCGTGGTCGATATAACACCAAACCATGGTCATTAGAACACTAAACCATGGTCAATGGAATACTAAACCATGGTTAATAAAACACTAACCCATGGTCAATGAAACACTAAACCATGGTTAATAAAACACTAACCCATGGTCAATGAAACACTAAACCATGGTTAATAAAACACTAAACCATGGTTAATAAAACACTAAACCATGGTTAATAGAACACTAAACCGTGGTTCATAAAACACTAACCCATGGTCAGTAGAACATTAAACCATGATCAATAGAACACTAAACCATGGTCAATAGAATATCAAACCATGGTTAATAGAACACTAAACCATGGTCAATGGAACACTAAACCATAGTTAATAAAACACTAAATCATGGTTAATAAAACACTTACCCATGGTCAATAGAACACTAAACCATGGTTGATAAAACACTAAACCATGGTTAATAGAACACTAAACCATGGTTAATAAAACACTAACCCATGGTCAATGAAACACTTAACCATGGTTAATAAAACACTTATCCATGGTCAAAAGAACACCCAACCATGGTTAATGGAACACTAAACCATGGTCAATAGAACACCAAACAATGGCCAATGGAACACTAAACAATGGTTAATAAAACACTAAACCATGGTCAATGAAACACTAAACCATGGTCAATGAAACACTAAACCATGGTCAATAAAACACTAAACCATGGTTAATAAAACACTAGCCCGTGGTCAATAGAGCACTAACCCATGGTCAATAGAGCACTAAACCATGGTAAATAGAATATCAAACTATGGTGTATACAAAAACTGATACATGGTTCATATAAAACTGATACATGATTAATATAAAACTGATACATGGTTAATATAAAACTGATACATGGTTAATATAAAACTGATACATGGTTAATATAAAACTGATACATGGTTAATATAAAACTGATACATGGTTAATATAAAACTGATACATGGTTAATATAAAACTGATACATGGTTAATATAAAACTGATACATGGTTAATATAAAACTGATACATGGTTAATATAAAACTGATACATGGTTAATATAAAACTGATACATGGTTAATATAAAACTGATACATGGTTAATATAAAACAGCAAATCATGGTTAATATAAAACTGATACATGATTAATATTAAACTGATACATGATTAATATAGAACTGATACATGCTTAATAGACGTCATGGTCAATATAACACTTAACTATGGTCAACAAAACAGCAAATCATGGTCTACAGAAAATATCCATAGTAAAAATAGTACTAAACAACGTTCGATAGAACATAAAACCATGATTGATAAAACACAGCACACACTCAATAGAACACGTGATCAATAGAACATCAAACAGTGGCCAATCATTACACCATACTTCAATATAACACAACTCCATAGACAATAGTAGACTAAAACATGGTGAACAAGTAAGATATTACATACGGTCAATTGTACATCACACCATGGTCGTAAACACATGGTTCAACTGTACATCACACCATGGTCGTAACCACATGGTTCAATTGTACATCACACCATGGTCGTAAACACATGGTTCAATTGTACATCACACCATGGTCGTACACACATGTTTCAACTGTACATCACACCATGGTCGTAACCACATGGTTCAATTGTACATCACACCATGGTCGTAAACACATGGTTCAATTGTACATCACACCATGGTCGTAACCACATGGTTCAATTATGCACCAAACCATGGTTCAATTGTACATCACACCATGGTCGTAACCACATGGTTCAATTGTACATCACACCATGGTCGTAAACACATGGTTCAATTGTACATCACACCATGGTCGTAAACACATGGTTCAATTGTACATCACACCATGGTCGTAACCACATGGTTCAATTATGCACCAAACCATGGTTCAATTGTACATCACACCATGGTCGTAACCACATGGTTCAATTGTACATCACACCATGGTCGTAAACACATGGTTCAATTGTACATCACACCATGGTCGTAACCACATGGTTCAATTATGCACCAAACCATGGTCAAATGTACAACAAATCATGGTCAATTGCACAACACACCATAGTCGATCGAACAATAAACTGTGGTCAATAATGCAATAACCTATGGTCAATATATCATTCAATTTAACATGTATGTTTGACAGAAGAACGAAGCCTAGCTAAGAGTAGTAACAGCATGCCATGCCCACTAGACAGCAATGTTTATAGTCACAGCGTGAACTCGTACATACAGTTCAGGATCGATACCTAACCTAGTCACTTCCTCACACACTACAATATAACGGGACAGATTTACAGTATACATTTGTGGACCTACGTATTACTCCAAACCCTTGTCACTCTATAAAACACAATCTTTTCCTTTATGTACTGATGATATCAACTAAGTCTGAATAAGATTTAATCTGTCGCGAGGTTTTCCAGTGATAAAGCACTCCGTAGTGTTATTCTATGTCCCTAACTAGCCAGGTAAACAGAGATGGTGAAGGGTACAGGTATGCAAGCAGGTTTTAGCTTGGTGGAGATATATTCAGGTCCCCTGACTTTTAAAAATATTTCTTCAGTTTAAATAAGACAGACAGCAAAAACCTTAAGCTATGAAATGACGTCATGTCAACAACAAATATAAGAGTTCCTCATGTTGTGTATTGTTGGACTTGGGTACTACTATGAAAGTACATGAACAACACTACGTAGTTATAGAGGAGTAATACTAAATATATAGATGTTAAATGTTCACTGTAATCTGAACTTGAGTAGACATTTTATAGGTAAAAAGAATCATAAACGAAATAATCAAACAAGATACAAGTAGCTTACCTGTGCATGGATCGCGAGCTGACACCAGGTGTGGAATACCATACCTGGTGCAGTAGGATGCCCTGAGTGACACACCGTCGGGGTTTTTCTCTCTACAATGGCTGTATGATCATGCTGGGACAGGGTTTAATGTTATTTACATAATTACAATAACTTAGAATCCGTGGTTATACTTTCAATCTGAGTGCCCGTCAGCATACACCTCCTTCGTCCCTGTACGTGTTTGTAAGTGTACCTGGGGGTTTAACACTGCCTGTCGGGTGTATATAGACTATCACCGCGTACACACACGTGTAGTGTACATAGAGGAAATGGGTTTAGATTTTATTTCATGTGTAAATCTCACACACCATAGAAAACAGTCTGTTTCGTTTATCTCACGGTCATAATTCACGGATTGCATACTTTAAACATAATATTTACCCGACATATTGATTTTTCGGCTGTTGATTTTGGTCACTGAGGCGTGTCATTGTAGCCGTCTGTATAACGTGATTAAAGCTCGGAGATGACCCACTTCTGCCTCAATAGACAGTCTCATAAGTTAAAATAGCAAAGTTCTCAAAGAATTTTCATAATTTTAATGGGCTTGTTATTTCTTCCTTTATATGAATACATGGACGACTTTCACCATTGCATTGGCATACTTTATAAAAGGGACTTAAATGACAACAAAAACGTTTTAGGAAATTGTTAGTCCATGCGACAAAACCAATAACAGGATATAAACAAAACACCTAGTAAACATAAATGTTGGCTTATCAAAAGTGAAGTACTACAATAAAACAGTGTCACCAGAAACAAAGCAAAGGAGAGTTGGACAGTAATTCGTTATTACTTTGCTGAAGAAAAGTTTGATTTCTAACAATAGAACTAAGGTTTTGTTTCTTTGGTTAGGTATGACATACAGTCTTTGGTTAAGTATGACATACAGTCTTTGGTTAGGTATGACATACAGTCTTTGGTTAGGTATGACTTACATTCTTTGGTTAGGTATGACATACATTCTTTGGTTAGGTATGACATACAGTCTTTGGTTAGGTATGACATACATTATTTGGTTAGGTATGACATACATTCTTTGGTTAGGTATGACATACAAAACTACATCACCCAACCTTACAATGAACTTAACATAATTTTACACATAATCGTTGTGTCTTTGTTTAAAACCTGACACAGAAGATCACAGATACACCTAAAAGTCCACAACAAATATATACGGCTTTGTTGTTTAGAGATGGCATGTGTTCACCAATATATATGGCTTTGTTGTTTAGAGATGGCAAGTGTTCACCATCATTCCATCAAGTCCGCTCGTCTTTTCTTTAAATTGATCTAGATAGATCTTCGTCAGTTATATACACAAAGACGCACAGACTTGGAGTTGTCTGGTGAATATTCAAAGCCACCTAAACTTGGCGAGGACATCTGTGTTGTTCTATGTCAGTTTGAAACAGGGAACAAAGACTTGGTCTCGTCTTGACTGCTTTGTGATTCTATCACAAAATTTCAAATTTCAGTATTTTCGTAGTGTATATTCTTGTTACGGTCGCATGATGTCACCAACTATGTGCGCAATAATTCATGTGCCCTTTACAAAATTGACAATTATTTCCATTTCTAAAGGACAAGATAAAAACTATATTTGAATGTTGAAGAATCTTGAAACGAATTTAAATTTTCTAACCGTGATTCCGCCTTGAGGTTAAATTGGGTCACCTATGAGTTTTAGGTGTGATATACAAACATATATACAATACTATGTGTGGGACTGTAGTTCTGTGTCAGCTTCATACAATGACACAGAAACGTAATAAGTTCATTAAGCCATGACGCTCAGCTCCCCTTGGACTTATATTTGTTTGTTGTTCGGTCGTGGTAAGTCAGAGTTAATATTTACTGTTACTTGATATTTAGTTTGTCGCGGGATATTGCTTTTGTCACAAGAAATGTGTCCTTTCTCTGAGTGTATTCATACATCCTTGCACAGTCCTTCATAAAGCATACCAATGCGAAGGTGAAAGCTGTCAATGTATTCATAGAGAAATTATAACTACACCAACGTTATGAAAATCTAAAGATCTTTGTAATTTACCTGTGAATCTGTCTATTGAGGAAAAAGTGGGTCATCTTGGAGCTTTTAATGACGTTATTAAGACAGCTACAATGACATGTGACCTGTGAGAAATGGACCCGAGTTCGACCCTTAGTAGTCATTTAAATTAGTGGCAATGTCGTTACCATCTTTTCAACAAAATCAAACCTTGGTCAAATTAACGGGTAATACAAAGCCAGTGATTGATAATTCGACATATAGTCTTTTGCTGGTAAGACATTACAGCGTTTCCTATAGAGCATCTTCAATAAACGTGTTTGACGAGCTCCCAGTTAAGTTAAACATTTAGATAACTTCTTCTTTTTTGCATCATTTTTACATGCTAAATGTTTTCTAAGATTTCTGAATGTTCCCCTATCATTACTTTCTTTAGATGTTATTAAGATCTGAGAGTCGTATTTAATCTCGCACACTATTCTATCACTATACCCTTTGACAGTTTGCGTTTTTAATTTAACAGGTACATTTACTGTCGTCAGGAAAGTGTTCAGCGTTGCGTAAGAAAACACGAAAATGACGTTTATTACAATAGAGATATTATCTGTATGTACAATCTCACATCAGTTAATCATTGACAACTGAAAAAATTAATTTGTATATGAAATCTGTTGATGTTTAATACACCCTGTCATGATCTGTGGTGTGCTCCCAAATTATGTGTACTCAACCGACAATGTTTAGGTGCTTAGATAGTATTTATTGAAAATGACAATATCCCTATTTAGAAGCATTGGTTTGACAGATACAAACTCGATACAAGAAAAGTTTATTTTGTCGGAATACGTGTTTTTTCTTCTGTTTGTACAGGTTCGCGATGTATACTTTTCTTTAAATTTATAATCAGAAATGTTATGTGTAAGTATATCAGATATGTGCACAGTCATCTTTTTTTATCTTGGAAAAAAATAGTCGTCCACATTCATAGATTTTCACTTTTCAAAATGTTTATTGAAAAGTTTGCTTGTTTTCTGAGTTTTAACGGTCAACTCTCAACTTTCAAAAACTTTTGTTTTAAGTTCATTGTGGACTGAAATATCTTTTAGTTGACAATATTCAACACACATTCGGTATTCCAAACAGGGGCTTACTATACACAAGACCTAACCCATCTGTTTCATACTCTTTTGCTCATTCAATATTGAGCTAGCCCAATATTGAATATGTAACCAAATTCACACCGGTTCTGCTCATAAGGTGCAGAAAACACTTACTTCCAGTTTATTACAGCGGGATGGTGCAGCGTGCTTCATGTTTGGCGTACTGTAGGGACAATTGCGTCTTTCCGATCGTGAAATGTCCCCGTCTTGAGAGTAACATCCCTGTCTTGAGACTGTCTTGAGGGTAACCTCCCTGTCTTGAGAGTAACATCCTTGTTTCCCTTCGATCGAGAATTGTCCCTGTCTTGAGAGTAACATCCCTGTCGTGAGAGTAACATCCCTGTCTTGAGACTATCTTGAGAGTAACATCCCTGTCTTGAGAAGAACATCCCTGTCTTGAGAGTAACATCCCGGTCTTGAGAGTAACATCCTTGTTTCCCTTCGATCGTGAATTGTCCCTGTCTTGAGAGTATCATCCCTGTTTCCCTTCGATCGAGAAATGTCCCTGTCTTGAGAGTAACATCCCTGTCTTTAGAGTAACATCCCTGTCTTGAGAGTAACATCCTTGTTTCCCTTCGATCGTGAATTGGCCCTGTCTTGAGAGTAACATCCCTGTTTCCCTTCGATCGAGAAATGTCCCTGTCTTGAGAGTAACATCCCTGTTTCCCTTCGATCGAGAAATGTCCCTGTCTTGAGAGTAACATCCCTGTTTCCCTTCGATCGGGAAATGTCCCTGTCTTGAGAGTAACATCCCTGACTTGAGAGTAACATCCCTGTCTTGAGACTGTCTTCAGAGTAACATCCCTGTCTTGAGAGTAACATCCCGGTCTTGAGAGTAACATCCTTGTTTCCCTTCGATCGTGAATTGTCCCTGTCTTGAGAGTAACATCCCTGTTTCCCTTCGATCGAGAAATGTCCCTGTCTTGAGAGTAACATCCCCTACGTATGGCGTTAACATGCTGCTGACGGACACCTTTACCACACAGTTTACAAAATTGCAAGTTGGTGAAGTTTTGCGTTTGCAGTCATGATCTCATGGGGAAATATGCTATTCTTTTGTTTGGTATGAAGGTCGGTGGGTTTTTTTGTGCTTGTGTTTTTATTTTCACTACCTAATTTCTTCAATTGGACCTAGATTTACCTGTCATGTGTCGTTGATGAAGCAGACAAGGCTCACCTTCCCGGACCACATGTCTTACTCTCCTGGTTTTGGGGCTCGCTGTGGCACGTTGGTACTCAATTCCCTTCTCACACGTTTGTACTCAATTCCCTTCTCACACGTTGGTACTCAATTCCTTTCTCACACGTTGGTACTCAATTCCCTTCTCACACGTTGGTACTCAATTCCCTTCTCACACGTTGGTACTCTGTTCACTTCTCACACGTTGGTACTCAATTCCCTTTCTCACACGTTGGCCTCACGTTCGTCTTTGTATAAACTCACTCTGTAATTCATTTTGTCCTTTCTTATAAACTTGGTGTTCCGATTTTGTCCTGGTGTGATGACAATGTTGTATATTTTGTCCTTGTGGGGTGATGCTATGAAAGATTATGACGTTTACCGATGTGTTTCCAATTTTATTAAAGAGAAAAGCTTGCCATTTCTATTACGTATCAACTGGGATGATTTTTTTAAAATTGTAATAAGAAACAAGACTGATATTCCATGAGAAATGCATAACATCTTAGGAGTAAAAAGCTGCAAAATAAATCTGTAATCTGTATATAAAATGATATATTTAGAAGTGTATATAATATTGAATATGATCCTGTAAAATTATTGTGCAGTACAGCACCGCGATGTATGTGCGTGACATCCCCATCTGTGTGAATAGTTCTATATATCATGAACGGGTTATTTTAAAGAATTGATAATTTGCCAATAATGCGTTCATATGTCGGTAAATAATTATATCAAATATCAACACTGTGTGATGATTGGCCTATATTTCCCTTTTCATGCTGTCCCACTTTGACATTATCGAAAAACCACGGATTATATTTCTCTCCATCATATCGAAATTGTAAAAGTTATAGGGCAACGATATATTCATCAGCATGTCACAAGCGACAAAAACATCAACATATGTTCACCGTGCGTACAGTCAGACTCTGTATACGGTTGGTATGAGTCCACAACGTGTCATTTACGTTTTATACCATACAATAGTCTATTATGATGTCTGAACAAATATGGATCTTTGTAAACACCACAATACAGAGAAATGTCAATGTTCTCTCAATACACAGGCGATTGGCTATAGCAGTGACAATTTATGGTTGTTTGGGCGGTAAGACCACATGCTTATTCTCCCAGACCTAATGTTCGTGGGTCATAAATAGTGTTTTATTTGCTTTTGACATAGTAAGAATAATATGTGATTTACATAACAACGACCTTCTGCTTTGGTATCCATTTATGGGTCGGCCAGAATCGATACAAGTAGGTTGTATATTTGTGCCACAGGTGGAATAAATGACAGTATCGCGATCTCTTTCCGAGTGTATGTTTTATTCAAGTGTGTATAAAACATGTTAAATTTTTAATCGAATCTTGTACCATCCAGACATCTTTACAAATCTCACCAGTAAATAGTTTTATTACTTTGTTTGTCTCTTTGACGATATATATATATATATAAATATAAATAAATGTCGCGGAGATACCTAAACACAAAACATGAGAATGCTGACGTCATCAGCTAGTATCATTTCTCTCGATTCTTTTGACTCCTACCCTGAAACATTTTATTTCGTGCGGGCTGGCCACCCTCAACTTTAATTAACTGGACGTGGTGAGCGCGTTCAGCTAGCTTGCCAGTAAAGCGTTATTTTCCCTCCTTATTCCTTAGCTGTTACCATTGGCCAAATCATTACTGATTTATTTCTTCCGCCAGAACCAGCTTGATAAATGTTCTGTTGTCGTAAACACATCAATACAACCCGTACTTGGAATCCTGTGTACCTCCATCTCCATTAGGAAGATCCTACAAATGCATCGTGTATGCATCTGGCGTTCTCTTATAGCTTCCTCGAATCTCTCCCTCTAAGAAAAGTTGAGTTGTTAATTAGTATTTGATTCCCCTGAAGCGACTACGATGTGCATCTGAAAAGATTGAACCGTACTCGCCCTAGGTCCACCTGCAATTCCCTGCCTTCAGTCCCATCTACTGTTTCACTTGGTGTGCTCGAGTCTTTTTAATCCGGCCTTTCAAATTCCTCCTTTTGGTTGGTTCCTTCCTATCGTCCTTGAGGATCAGGGTCTGAATACAGCACATGGGCAGGATACAGCACATGGGCAGGACAACAACATTGAAAGAAGAAAGAAACGTGATTCGAACTCAATATCGATAAAAATGGGGCAAAGCATGAAAGAGGAAAATATTTACACGAGGACTCTGAAAAGACAACAAAGAGAATAACACCAGATATTCTCGAATGTTAAGTATTTTCCGCTTTATCGGCGATACCCGTCATGTACATCTAGATGAAGTCCATGCAATTTCAAGTCCTCAAAGTGAGTCTACCTTGTTTGTTACACAGAGGACAGTTATCTCATGTCTTCTCTCTGCAGTTTCCTATCTGGTCACTGTTTAGCTCCTGTCCTTTCATCATGACACTCTTTTTGCTTTCTTTATATCTTCCTTGATATTCCGGATATCATTCAGCATTGTGTTCCTTCTGTCACCGTATGTGATGTTCACCATACGTATATATTTGTCGTTGTAAGTCTTTGTCTGCCTACACTGGTGAAACCAAAGATGTCACTGTCTCACCCTATTCTCGGATTCCTCCGATTCCTTACTTGCCGACCTTTGTACCATACTCTTGAAAACATCCCCCATACGCAAGCGTAAAAGATGTTCTGTTATCAAGCTCAATTCCTAGTCCAAAGTGAGAAGTTAGTATAATTTCAATAACTTATAAGTCTACTTCGTGGAGACTTAATGCTGAGAATCATCTGTACCTTTTGGTCCATAGCAAGGCACAGTTAGAGTTAGTTTGAGCTCACAGCTTGAGCGATTGCATATGAAAATAGTTTCATAAATACGTCCCTGCTGACATTGGGGATAATTTCGAGGCACAGTTAAACAAACAAAACAACACAGTTTCATGGTATTTCGGCAGAAAATTTATTTGAATGGTACTGTTGGATGTTTTCTTCAAAATATCAGAAGAAAGAGTGAAAGATGCTATTTTTGTTATCAAGAAGCTGGACATTACAGAAGTGTTTTAGAACCAGAGTTAACACATTTATATATATATCATGTCGATAACATAATGATAAGAGTGGACATTAGTTGTTATTTTTAGCATATTTCAAAAAGATCAGGGACTTTTTTTCTGTAAAGATGATCAAGGAAATGACCTGTTGTAAAAAGGCCCTGTTCCTTATTCTAACTACTGGAATTTTGTTAGATACACCGGCTTTAAAACAAATACAAGATGCTTAAAGGCTATCAATATGGATTATATCTGAAGCACCTTGGTACATTACTGAGTTGTATGTTTATAAAACATCCTCATTTACTATCAGCCGTCATTTTTTTTCAACTTCAGCAATTTATCTTAACTTAACTCAACCTGTTAAACTTAATCAGTTAATTAACTTAATGCAGCTAACAATTCATCTTAATTAAACTTAAACTATTCATCGAAATTAAAATGAAACAATTCAAATAAATTCAAATTCACATGAAATCGGTTTCAGGCATGGATTAAACATACTTTGAAAAAATAAAGGTAAATACATGGCGACAAAAATTACAAAGAATGCATAGGTAATGTTTATATACAATGTATATTGCCTTTAAACAACTGTATAGCTACAATTTGTTTTGCTATCCATCCCAGTGTTTTGCAGTTTTACAAAATAACTAAAACACCACAACATGCAGAATTGGAATAAAAGTTACCAAAATCACAGCCTCTGCTTTGGATAAAAATCAAAACAAGATATGAAACTAAATAGTTTATATATTAACAGGCATATATAATATAAAATAACTACATATTGTAGTGTAAGTTTAAGATGAATATAGCATAACTATTAAGGAGACATCCTATTATTTAGATATCTAATTATATGTACATTTATATTATGTAAATATTAGGTATCTATCTATATATGATTTAACAGATTATCTCATTATCACATAAGGCACTCTAACAATAGGTGTCATTTACACCTGTCTATTGTCATACGATTTATTATTTTAAACATCACATTTAAGAAAATTAAAAATGTCAAAATAATTCAAGTTAAATTATAACACAGACTAACAAATCAGATCTTTGATTTTATTTTTATTTAAAGTTTGTATTAAATTCCAAATCAGGACGTTACTCGTTATGTTATCAGTATTAAAATGAAGAGAGAAGAAAGTTTACTTCATATTACTATCGTTAATGTTAAAGCAAATATGAAAGAAACAAAACTTTGATGTCCTGTGGTTTAAAAACTCCAAGATTCATTCATATTAATTGTTTACACTCTAAAAATATCATCATCATCATCATCATCATCATCATCATCATAACAACAAGGTTTTTACACAGGGAAAAATGCAAACGGTTAGTATACATGTAAATAAAAAATATCACAAATTTGCAATCACAATAAATAAATAAATTATATGCATGATGAACTAATTAATTTGGACTAGTTAATGTAAGAAAAAGTGACTAAAATTATAATTGGTTGATTCAGTATAACGATATTTTAAGTTAGCAAAAATTCATCAGGTAAAAAATGATTTTTGAAACTAAAAGCGCATTGTGAGCAACATGTAATCACAAGTTTGAGATCCTGTTTCTCACAATAAACACAAGAAAACTAAAAACCGTGTCTTTGGCACGTACTTACAAAGTTTTGAGCTCTGGACGGAATACAAAATCATGCAGGGATGATGATTAATTTACTATAATATTCTAAGATATCTGTCTTTACTCTTAAATTTCATACGGAATTGTTCCACATATTGCTTTTCTCTGTTATTTAACACTTAGCAACAATGGTATAAATCATTGTTTACGTCTATAACCATCCTGAATACGTTTTGAACATTGACTTGTTCAGTCACATATCAGCACTGGTTATCATAGCTATCGGAAGATACCCTTCTTTGTCTTGCTATTAGTTCTGGAAAACTGGATATTAAATTAAAAGCACAGATCCTCATTGTTGATGTTATAAAATGTGTTGCTGCCATGTTGTCAGCATGGAGTTGTCATGGAGACTCATCCTCACAGTGATGTGATCAACTTTTCTGTAGGAGGGGCTGACCTTTGCCCTTGACCTTTTTATTACTAGGCGACCGTTTACCATCCTCCTCTACTTCCTCCTTTAGTGGGGCCATTTTTGTCACGTCACCACTTGGTCGCCTCATCACTGGATCTGGTTTCTTCTTTCCTTAAATACAGGAACCAAAGTAAAGGTTATATACCCCAACACAAAGGGACCTACATTACACAAAAACAGTATTCACTATAACGTTATGTTACAAATGTTTGGGAAGACAATTTGCTTTCGTTGTTGGAGAAGCAGGATGAACAATACTTGTACATACTTTTTTGTTGTTGAACAATTAGATGCAAAATGTAAATGATATCACAATCCTGATAATGCTTTGTTTAAATTTGTTAAAGATTTGCACATTTACAGTACTTCATATTCAACTTCTTACTGTAGGTAAAAGAATAAGATGTTTTATAGCTGTTTTGGGAACTGTTAGCCCTTGTTTCTGGGAAAGACCAGTTCCTTAAACAACCCTATACTGTTAATGACTTATAAGAAATCTTGACATGTAATCTGTAAAACAGATGGCGATACCTCAGATGTAATTTTGAGCAATCTGATATCTACCTTTTACTTCATCTTTTGGGGGACTCTCACATTTCCTTGTCTGCTTGTCTGGGACATTGATTTTAACAGATTTCCTGAAAAATGAGAAACACAATATTGATCTGATAAAAACACAGCCCACCGAAATAAACAATCACTATTGTTTATGACCTTTGTCTTTGTGCACTAACTCAATAACATTTGTTTTCTTATCCTTCTAAACCAGTAATTTATATCAGTTATTTTACTGATCCTTCTAAACCAGTAATTTATATCTGTTATTTTACTGATCCTTCTAAACCAGTAATTAATTGAAACTGGTGCTTAGACCACAGAACAATTTAAATAAGCCTTGACTGACTGGGTTTTAATGTATGTCTATTGAGGTAAACACCAAACTGTACAATAAAATTATCCTTTTTACACAAAAATTGATATGGATTATCCTCTTGTTTCAGTGCCAGTGTAACACACCTTCGGTCTGATTTGTCCGCCTGTGAGTGCTCGGACTTTGTCTCCTTTTTGCCCGCACTACTGTTGGTGGTGTTGATGGTGTCCGACGGCTTACTCATCACGGAGGCCTTCTCTCCAATATCACTGCCTTTCTGAGAGGCTGCATGTCAAGTGGAAATAAAGGCAAAACATAAAAAGGATGACACAATGTATTATCTCCACTTATACTCTGATTTGCCAAAAAACATTAAACAAAACTCAAAACAGAACGCTGGTATCCAAAATATAAATTCTGTCCTTTATTCTAATTGAAGGGAAATTGCACGAGTCTGGACAGAGGTTTCTTCATGTTTAGGAATATTTCTCTGATTTTTTTAAGAATACTGCAAAATCCCATCACCACATCTGCTATTTGTCAGATTTTATATTTGCAGAGTTAGAACAAGTGAGTTTAATCTAAAGCAAATATAATCGATATATGTCCATGTCAAACATGAATGAAACAATTTGTACTGAGAAAAATGCTTAGAAATTATTGATTTATTTATTTGTACAATAAGGTACCTTTGAAAATTACACTCTTTAAAGTATGTTAAACTGCATCATAGCAACTCTGTACTTGAAGCATTTCTAATTGATTTAGTAAAATTTAATTACTTCGAGCTGACCTTGATTTACATGGTGGATATCTTCAATAGATCATGAGACACTTGTCAATCTGTATCGTTTGGCCTTATTCCCCTACAAGTTGTTCTTTTTCAAGGATATTTATGTTATTTTTCCTTTTAATTTTTCATCTGTGACTTGCAGACATTTTGTAAAAAATATTTCGAATAAAAAAAACAGCTTTATAAATGCCTTTTTATGAGAGAGTCTGAACTGTCCAATCAGAATTCTGCATCGGTCAACCAAGTGTGCTATTTCCATGCGATTAAAACCTGATTGAGTGAAACCTGGTTGATAGTGCCTGTTTGGAACATAAGCAGTAATATTTACCCGAGTCAGACATGAGAGAGCTGAACGTTGACTCGTCCGTGTTGTTGAGAACGTCCTCTTTATGTAAGGCATTCATGTAATTAGAATAGGACCAGGAAATCTTATCCTTGGTGCCCACCTCCTCCTCCTCCTCCCCACCCTCGCTACCCTCGCCCTGCTGGTGGGCAAATGGGTCATGGTAAGCCTCTAAGTCGTCCCCGGGGGCAAGGCCTAGAGCCGCCCGTCGTTCTGCCTCCTACAATGATCACACACCACATCAGAAAGTTAAGAAACATGGGTTGAATTTATATTTTATGATTTTCACAGTCGTAAAATAATGGTGCATTTACACTAATGTTGAACTTTCAAAAAGAGAAACACATTAACAATGTCTCCTCTGGCAGATTTCTAAAGGGAGGATATTGTGCACAGTCAAAGCATATACTGAAACCTCCTTGGGAAGTCCATAAAAGGGATCTTAGTACAGGTGGTCTCAAAATACATGTTAAGTTAACTATGAGAATCACTAAAATGAGGTGTTGGTCTCTTAACACAGGTATTCTTTTTATAAAGGTGCATGGTCAGTGTACTATATATTACAGAGATGTCTATCCTCTGTAGGCAGGTATATCAGGTTCCTTATCTAAGTTCTTTATCAGATCGATACAGTGTCTTTCTTACTGATTACAGACAACCATGGGAAATAATTCCTACCTGGACTTCTTTTCATTTGTAAAGATTGCTTGTGGTTCTTATCATGTAATATCAGTTGATATAGAATATAGGTTTAATGAAGACCATCACAGAAACAACAGTACTTACTTTTTGTTTTATTATCTGTATAATCTTACCCCTGAGTATCTCAACAAATCAAGACATTAAACTGTCATTCCATTTCTAAATAAAACTATCCAAAGAAACCTGTGCATTATGACATTCTGTCTGATCCAAGAAAGTTAAAGGATCCTACAAGGTGTCAGATTACACAGGTTTAAATTAAGCTACATAGTTACATATAACAAGGTGTATTGTTCATCAAAACCTAGAGAAAAATCTCCCCTAACACATTCAGGTTTCTAAGTATCAAGAAAGAAATGAATCAGCATAAACATGGTTGGGATTTCACGGCTTAGAAATTGAGTTTCTATTCAGTACAGGTATCATGGAGTAAATCAATCAGATTTAAGTCATGTTTACTTCTTGAAAACAGATTTAGATCTGTATCTGAGATTTAGGTGTGTGATACTGATCTTAAGATTTATGTAAATGATATAGATTAAGATATCTTGGTTTTGATCTAAGTGATATTGAGCAGCTAAACTAAGGGCTATGCGTTGTCATGTCCACCGCTTTGCAATGGACGAATGTTACATGTTAAATCTAAACCTTACTCTTTTCTTTCTAATTTGGGATTGTATACATCTCAAATTCCAATAATGAGGTAAATTCATAGCAAGTTCACAATTCTATAAGTCAAATATACACAAGTATGTATGTATCTTGTTTGATAACGAGAAACATAGTACAGGTAAACCTGATCAGGGCTTTGGAGAAATCTACGAGACTGGATATATAGCGTGTCGTCCTTACAAATTATCACTACAATAGGAAATAGGCATTATATAGTATATAGTACGTAATGTTAGCACATGAGCTCGCAGTCATAAATACATAATATTCTGAATGATTCTTAAATTCTCTTTTCATTTCCCTCAGGTAAAATTATTTAAATATCTCACATTGAAATACTCAGTACAATGGAAAACAGTTTTCTCGATTTAATGATCTTGCCCTTCAGTCATTTAAAATAAAGTTAATGTGTTTTTGACATACAAGCCCAACTTCGGGACAATAGGAAAGTATGACCATAATAACTTTGTGTTTGAAATTATGTACTTGTAGAAATGGCTCTAAGAAATATTGAAGCAATTTATTTAATGACTTAACAAATAGAAATGAAAAAGACGGGAAATAATATCAATGTTTGACAAATTTAAATGTAATATGACGTTACTCGTGTATACTTGCAATACATTTTAACGAGAATATCATATTTCAGAAGATTTCTTTATAACTTAATAGTTATAATTTGGTTTGACAAGTTATTATTTGTGACAAGTTATACATTGGTTTGACAATTTATTATTTGTGACAAGTTATAATTTGGTTTGAAAAGTTAACAAGTGTTAAGGTGAGTTGTAAACACACAGACATATGAGGTAATGTTTAGACCAGAGGACAAACATGTTTTCCCATTGGACATAATAAAGCAAAAAATTAGGATTAGCATTAAGTTGGTAACAGGACAGCATTAATATTCACAAATACCAAATCATAAAGCATTATATGTATGTGGGTGTGTGTTTTTGTTTCAACCTATAAACGAACATATCAAACAATATTTCATTCAATGATTGATTGTGAAATATACAACAAATATGTAATGATCTTTTCTTGTGAACAAGATGTTTTGAGAAAATATTTGACTTTAACTATGATTAAGAGGTAAAACCACGGAATTAGATCTAAGTCCGGTGGTAAAACAAAGTATAGACCTTGGACATTTAAACTTTTATAATGACCTTGCCTTCGAGGAGAAAAATGAAAAAACAGAACAGAAATATACATTTGTATCAATAATTCATGGTTCATGATTGATTCATGGTTTGTGATTTATGGTCAACGCTTTCAAGTTAACGTTGCTCTAGAACTGTTCAATCCTTGGATCATGGTCACGTATTAATGGTTAGATTTTCGTGGTGTAATGATCAATGATTTACGAGTCAATGTTGATGAGTGTAGTTACCTGTGAAATTGAATACCTATCTGATAAATTATAAGCGAGTCAATACTTTTGAACACAACCAAAGTGACAGTCCATTCTAACCTTAACTCATTCGCCCCTGAAATTTTATAGTGAACTATTCCAGCCTTTGAATTGGAAGAGTACAAATGTGTCTTCAGGGGTGAATGAGTTAACCATATATATATGTGTTGATAACGAAGCATTATTTCACATACGCATCCCCACCAGTAAATCAACCTCCATGTTCCTATTTTTACCATGCACAATGTCAGTGTTATAGTCCAAGTGACATGCCCAGGTACTGGTCTGACCTCACGGTTAGTCACATTGGTACAATACAACTTACAAACATCTTTAGCATTGGCATATACCATTTCCTATACTGGCGCCTGATAGGCTGAAAAATTATAGCAGGTACATTCATCAAATATAGAAAACAAGTACTGAATTTGCAATTAAACTGTGTGGTTAGAGGTTTGAGAAAAAAGATGCATCTTTGAATTCAAAAATCAGAAGATACATTGAGATACATGTATCATTAAAGCAAATATATTTCTAGAGTTTGTGTAAAATGTTTTTCTACGCCTTTAACAATTAATGCATCGTTTGAGTATCTTACACCTTGTGCGCTGTACATCCTTTTGATTTGGTCGAGTGACCTATACATCTATCATAATACAATTAACTGATGATAAAATTACAATATATTTGATGTACATCATACATTCAACAGAAACACTAATCCATACCTTGTGTTGGAGATTTCCTGAACAAATCATTCACCTAGGTTGGCAATTATTTCATATTTTCTTACCCCAAACCCTTAACCTGTTTCTCTCACATCACTCGACTCATGTCACAGAATCAAATGCCTGTTATAAGGTTCACAGGTAATGTTAACAGTGCATTCCTGTGAATCACCTAAGTTTCCACACAGTGCTGTCCTGGTCAAATTATGCAACACAAAACTCAAAACAACAGAATATGATTTCCTGTGTGATTGTCAGAAACAAAAATGTGCGGTGTTAGCCAGGAGCTCTATCTGCGAAGAACAATTTTCTTAATTATAATGTACTTCTCTATTTTCCACCTCCAACTCAGCCTCCCTCTTTTCCTATGAGATTTTTTAAGAATGTATTTGACTTATATTGGTATACTAACTACAAATATGTTTGAAGGCTTTGCAATTGATCGATCATGGCACAGAGACAGAAAAATAAACAAAGACACTGATCGAGGATAAAACGGTCACACAAGGTCATATACAAGGCCCTAAGGGAGACAAAAGAACATAACAATACCCACACACATCCCCATGGCATCTTACCAAGCTTGAATTTTGTAGTTTTTTTGTTTTTTTTAAAGGATTGTTGCCAATTGCATAGTGCTAAATCCTGATCTCCAGAATGTTTTGTTGTATAATAATAATGTCTCCGACACAACGCATTCCTCCGACACTGATTTTGAGCCAAGGCCAGTCTTATCCTATCATTTAAATGCTGAGTGAGAATCAAAGAAGACATTTTTAAATGCATAAAAAACTTTGACATGACATGGCCATTAGGTATTGACTCACAACACCTAAAAATCTGAGTGAAATTTCTACAATTCTCAAGTGAGGAGGGGACCGTAGGCATGCTGATTGAATTGTAGAAAATATAAAAAATATTACCAGACACTATTCACAATTTTGTATCAGCATTATTGGTTGAAATTTTAAATTTCAGTCATCAATTAAGTGGAAAATGGGACAAAATGATAAATAGCAGGTATTACTTCTATCTGATGAATGTGTGTTCAATCCCTGGGGGCGGATCTCAAGCCTTCTCACAAGACAACTGTTTTCCTTACTAAAGGAAGTTTTAAGTAGTGGAATAAAGGACCTTAATCTTGTTCCCTTTAAATGGATATTTATGAAAATCAATGGAACACTTTCAGATTCTTTTGATACTGGTGAAGAGAAAGCCGAAGGGAAACACCACTTTTGCTTTTGTTGCAGATTTGTGACATCATCTTAATGTCCCTAGTGAATCTGTGACATGATAATGGGTGAAATGGCTATATATGTGAGGGTGTCATTACTCTGTATGATAATCTGAGTAAGTTAACTCATTCACCCCTGAAATCCCATAATGAACTATTCCAACCTTTGAATTGGAAGAGTTAAAATGTGTCTTCAGGGGTCAATGAGTTAAAATGTCTGATGGAGATGTAAATAAATGCCAGTCTTGCGTCAAGAGAGAGTATGAAATATCTAAATTGATAAAAGATCTTGTCCTTGACTAAGGACTTACCAGCCACACACTGTATATCACAATGATAAACTCCATCAAATATCAATAGAGAAATCAGTGAAAATAAAGAGAGAAAAAAAAGTGTGTTTTTTTTTATAAAAGAAATCACAAAAAAACCTAGTACTTCTAAATTGCAAAATTCAAATTAGCTTTTAAAAATCACTGCATTTGAAATAAAAATCCAAACAAACTTAAAATCAAAGTATTTCTCAGCAATTCAAATGCAACCATCCAATCACAGATATAATATTTTAGTACAGGTTGTCTACCTTGAGTGCTTTCTCGTCCTCCATTCTCTGTCTTTGTCTCTCCTTCAGCTTAGCATGTCGTCGTCGCCTTTCTATTGTCGTCAGAACCTTATCATCAGCCAAGTTAGACCTGAACTCACAGAAGTCATTCCAGTGTTGGAAGAGTGTTCGGAAAACAGCACACTGTAAAAACAATTATCAAAGGTTGGAAATCATCACCTTTCCCAGCAATTTCCTCAAAATGTACTGTACAGTACCACACAAAAAATTATATGTTTGAACAATATCTTAATTTCTTTATGTGCTTTCTCAATCGTATCATCAACAGGTTCTTTCTTTGTACCATGTGCTTCTGTCACTTACTACCTTAAAATTTCATGCCATACAAATGTCCCCTAAAAGTTGTCATATATATTGCCACCCAAAACATAATACCTGTAACAAGGATTTCAGAGTTAGTTCCCTTGAAAAAAGCTTCAATGAATATTTTTGTTAGAAATCTTCTTTTGTACTGAACAGTGTCATCAATAAATTCACTTAGTCAAAATTCATAAATGCCATTTACAAGATTTATTCATTTTAAACTCTTTTCAAAAAGAGATACTATTTGAGTATGACAACATATAGCCTTAAGTAAAAGGGGTTCCTGAACCACAATATGTAGCTTACCTGTGACTCCCTAAACAGGTAAGGATTCCTCTCATACTTGTGTTCTAATATTCGCTCCGCCATATCTCCTGTGATATCTATCTGGAGACTCGGAGGGATCGGCGAGTCAATGAAACAGTTGATAATGGCGTTGATTTTCCCCAGGATGTAGGCTTCATCACTGTGAGCATGGTTGACATCCTGTAACAGATTTGAAGCATGAGCTTTGACTTGCTGATAGGATTAATACAGCTGTGGCATATTTTAATTGTATATAGATTAGGATTACAGTCTCCTTCTAGCTTTGTGCTACAGGGAATTTCCCTTTAGCTCAGCGGTAGAGCGTCCGACTTGGAAATCTGGGATTGTGGGTTTATCCCCATTGGAGGCATACTACTATTTTTCCTGTTACTTAACTTTAATTTTCTTAAGAATAACATCCTTCAACCTCAGAGTAAGAAATTATTTTAAGTATGATAAGAAGACTGCCCAGAGATTATCATTTCAAATTTGACATGTTGGTTCAAAATATTTAGATTCCTCTTCAAATTAGATAATGAATACTTTCAAAAAGGAAAACTTGAAACTTAACAAGCCCTCCATAGAATACCAAAAGTTCATTCTAACACACCAGATTTGTGCAAGGGAACAGAAAGATATGACAAACCTTGAAGCGTTGGACCTCGAGCCAGAATAGCACATCGTTCTCCAGTGTGTCGCCCTTGATGGACACATAGCGACGAAACTGTAGGGCGGTGATGGGGTTAAGGAGGGCGCTACGGAAAGTGATGATCTCCTTGGACGAGGATATCCATCTACTCTCCAACAGCTGGTACGATATCAACAAATACAACCATTAATCTCTGTGTTATTATATCAGGACTTAGCAGGTGTCTTCTGGGTGTAAACTTGTTTTTATATTGACTAAATAATGCAATCATGTTTGAATGGATAAGATAAACCAAATAAAGAAAACTTATATCTAATTGTCCTGACGACTGCCTGCCATGAACCACAGTGAGAGTTTTGTAAGAGTTTTATAAACCCCCAGATCCATGCATGAATTAAAGGAAAAAGATAGGCCAGTTATATTGGTGAACAAACTCTGTGCTTTGCTCTCAGATGCTTAAGTTAAAAGAACTTTTTGATTAGTCTAATTCAACAAGATTCTCAAACCTCCCTGACGCAAATGTACACTGTAGCAGTGCCACCTATTGGTGTATTTTTCTGTTTAGTAGAAGGGGACTTAACTGTGTGAGGAGTATTCCAAACAGACTTTTTCTTCCTATTTAAGTACACCCAAGTCTCTTTATTGATAGCAAAGATAAAAGCGTAATGTCTTCATCGTTACTGTGACAATCAGTTTACCTTGAGCACAGCTTGACTTTTCTTCCTCTTCTGAACCATTACATCATCAACCACATCGTCCATGCCTGCATTGGGTTTCTGGCGATCGGCAAACGCAGGGGTGACTAGGAATAATGGCAGCCATTTTTTTTCCAGCCTCTCCCTGACATACTTCTGAGCCTCCAACAGGACAGAGTTTGGAGGACGTTCATTTAACAGTTTACCCCAGCCACCAGCATCAGCCATTATCTGTGAAATTATAATGTTTGAATCAAAATTGAACCATGTATGTTTTTATATTCCCTGTCAAACAATCAATAAAAAATAGACAAAGGTCATGGGTTAATGGTATGTATTCATCCCTGATAGGACATTACATTTATATATGTTCCATACAAAATTATTAATTCTTGTTTTTCAGCTTTCAAGAAGAGTATCATTATGTGTTATTATATATGCAACCACAACTTTTAGAGAAAAAAGACTTTTAAGAATGTAAAGTGCGCTCCTCTTGATCCTAATTTTCACAAAAATAGAGTGTCCCTTCCCTATAAACTAAAAAAAGGAGGTTGTCCTGTATCCTGATACCAGGATCTGTATTTTAATGAAATTCATCCAACATACTTTATTTATTTATATACCTTATATCTGCAAGAAATTCACAACTAAAATTCTCGAAACATGTTCAACATTTGATTGGGAGAGTAAGATAGCCAGGATACCTTAATAAGATGTTCCCCTTCAATTCGAGGCTATAAACCCACCTTATCCTGAGCTGCTTTCCCAGCAGGGCTGTTTGGACCAAAGAAATATTTTTTGTTCAAAAATTTATTTTTCAATTCTCTTGCTTTATCATCCCGTTTTCGTTCGTCATTCTGTGGCAATCGCCGGAACTGTTCTATCTCCATCCAGCACAGCAGATCCATACTGGCATAGTTCTCGTTCAGGAAGTTACGGAAGTGTTCGAGTTCTATGCGATTATGGACCAATTTATCCAAAGATTGCTCCTTAAATTCATCTGGAATGTTATTAATTAGGTTTTCGTCGTACACTGGGTCCTCATATCCATCCATAGGGTTGTCAGGTGTAATCACTCTCTGAAAAATCAATAAATCAATAAATAAAACCTCAATTTCCTTCCACTCGATTTCTTAATTACATTTTTACATCTGTGTTTGCAATCCACACACTTTAATTTTATTTCCTTAAGAAAACTGTGTTAACTGATTTATTCCTAGCTAGTCTTTTATATAATACTTTTTGTAAATGTCATTAAATCACATATATCACATAAGATGCAGCTATAATAGCAATCAATTGGGTATTTATCCAAATGTATCATAGACAACTTCCAATGTAAACATCGTGTATTGAAAAAAATCACTTCTTTTTATTTCTTTTAAAAAAGTGTTGAAAATCAACTTCAAATGAACAACAATACAGTCCAAGGAAGACAACTCTACCCATAAAAATTAAATTTTGAAGAAAGTCTACAACAAAAATCAGAAAATGTTTGTAAACCATAAACATATATCCTCTTATAGGAACTTGAATAATATAAATGGATCTCAAGTGTAACCAATGTCAGTGAAGCAGGAAAATATAGGTAACAGTGACCTACATTTTATAGCAAGGTGAAGTGTGATGACTGTTTGACCTTCATTATAAGAGAAATGGTGCTATATAAATACGAAGTCTAACAAAGATGTCGGACGGACTGAAAAAAAAGGCAAACACTTAAACCAAACTCATTAGGTTGTGAGGGAATCAAAAATGTGTTAATTTAGGAATACCCAACAACAGACCTACCAGAGTTCCACAAATCTTTGTTTATTTATGTCTGTGTGAAACTAAACAATACAACGCACAATAACAGATCAGAGAGAAGGTTTGAGTCTGCGATCACTTCTGGTTCCAGTTCTTACCTCTTTTATGAGTCCTTTCTTCTGTAAGGTGAGGACATACTTAGACTTTGTCTCCAGGTGTTTCTTCACCTCAATTAGCTCCACCTGTCAGTAAAGGTATATGGTAAATGCTAAGATGTGTGTCTAAGGCGTTAAGCTTTTGGTTAATTTACCTGTAGATATGTAAAACTGTTTTGTTCCCGACATATGCATGTACATATATATTTCCTAGCTGGAATAAAACAAGAGTTTGTTAACAAAGTATCTAAAACATTACAGCTGAGTACAGATAAATAATGGGTAGATTGTAAGGTTTTGAAATAGAATCATATTTATTCATGAAAGAAATCCTTAGGCTTTATGATGCGGTAAATTTTAGTCAATAAATTATGAAAAACATTTTTTAACTTAAGACAATTTGTTTGTGTTTGTGTTGGATACAGACTTAAAACCATGTAATATCTCGTCAAGAATCTTGTCAAGCACGCAAACGACGCAGATCAATGGTAAATACCAATCACAGTTTAGGGTACGTCTGCTGTGTCGTGATGTGCGACACGCAACGAGAGTAATATCCATGACCACAAAATATCAATATTAATTACTCTAAGGATTTAACAAACAGGCATATAGATAAAACTGATTTGTTTACTTGTGAGGATACCATTACCACCACCAAAATAATGTCTTTTGATTGTTCTGTCAATTGTCATGTTTTGATCTCCTCAAATTATTTGTGTTGTGAAAACATTTACATTGGCAATAATTATAATAGTGTCAATGTGTTTGTGCTCATGTAACAGTATTTTGCATTTATGTTGTTAAACCAAAATTAGTAAACATTTTAGCCTATGAAAACTTCCATTACTTCGAGTAATTACATTAACTTAACATTAATACGCTGTGTTTCATAGTTCAATATCTTCTCATTTTAAATAATTTCTAGAAACTCCTCATCTTAGATAGACTTTTCACCTACGTATAATAACAATGATAACATTTTCTTTGTCTGTATTTACAACAAGTCTAATGTACTCTCACCTTGCTGTATGTTTTCATATCAGAACTGATCATTTGGACCCAAGGGACGAGAAGCACCGACAAGGCCATCTCCTCTGCTTCGTCAAACAAGTCCTCGAAAGCAGGCTCCAAACAGCGGTACACCTCACGGAATATTGCAGGACTACACCCAATATTTCTTTGAGACCCGACCACAATGTAGTGTGAATATATCGTCTGAAAAATAAAAACAAAATGAGGAAATCACATAGGCGTAAGTAGAGAGCACCGATAGTCAGCAGTTGATGCAAATATGCTAATGAAAGATCAGATTTAAAAAAAAAAAAAAAAAAATACAATTAAATTAATGTTATTTAAGTTATCCTTTTAACAAAAGAACAATAGTAATTACTTGTAATTCAAAGACAGAAGAAAATACATTTAAATAAATAAATAAAATGGTAATCGTAAGAAAAATGATCATAAGGTTAAGAAACATTAGGTTAAGATTTCAATATTTCAACATTTTGATTCATTTATTTCTTGATCCGAGGTCAGAAAATAGAGCCTTATAGAGGAATTGGACAAGACTACACTACCTTAGCCTTTCTGGTAACAGTTACTGGGTCGATGGAATCAGCGTAAAACATGAGGTGAAAATCCTGTAAGTCAGTCCAAAAGTTCAGGCAATTGATCCATTTCTGAGAAAAACAAAGAACTTGTCTTCACTGAAGGCAGATTTGCAATCAATATAAAATCAACAGCCTGTTGACACACCTGTGAACATATGTTTTAGATGAAACTCAGACTGGTTGTAAATTGTCCCATTTATCAGACGTTTTTATTAATTATGGTGATATACTGGAACTTAGTTTTAAAGTAAATAACAGACTGTCCAGTTTATAAATAGACATTTTACACTTTCCTATTTAGACCTTGCATTGCATATCTCTTATATCATGGAATTATCTGTTTATTTGAAGTTTTCCAGTGGTTCCAACTTTTTTTGAAAGCATGATGAATGTGTAATCATCATATAATATGTTATTGATTATTGTTTATTAATGAAGGAATCTTTTTGGATAATTCATTGAAGTTTGAAATAACAAAAAAAAGAACTTGCAGATTCTTACAAAATTTTGCATGTTTTTTTATAGCCTAATGTTTATCAAAAAAGTTTCCATTACCGTAATACATTGTACATAAATATCATTTTTTCAAAAACGAATAAAATAAATTTGTTGATTGTTTGAACCATATGTATCCACTGTAATAATCTCAGCGGTTGAAGCAAATAATACACAATCAATAGTCGAAGCTACAATATATCATAGTCAGTCACTGTATCCAAACAATATTACATTTAAAGATAATATGCAATACATTATCTGATGTTTTTATTTCGTAGTAATATAAAAAGAAAATTCAAAACTATGATTGGACTGCATGTATTTGATATGAATAGAAAGAAAGTTAATGATTTAACGATGTACAACAAAGCTTTAACATTACATACTCTCTTCTGTGCTCTCTCAACGTATTTCCTGAAGAAGCCACCAGCAACTCTCTCATGGTGAAGGGTCTGGAGGAGTGACTCCACTTCCTTGTGATCCACCTGCCCCAGAGACGTACTGGGGGTGGAACCTGCAGAGGAGGGGCGCGCCCGTGACATTTGTCGGTTCAAGGTTGGCTTAGAATTAGCAGCAGGTCGTGCAGACACTGGTCTGGCAGAGGCGGATGGCTGGGGAGGTAGGGCGGATGCAGGTCTGGCAGAGGAGGATGGCGTGGGAGGTAGGGCGGATGCAGGTCTGGCAGATGAAAGGCGAGACTGGCGAACAGCTGATGATGGGCGAGAAGAACCAGCACTTCCGATGGAGGACCTGCAACAAAAAGGATAAATGTGATAGAAAAATACTTTGTGAAGATATTACTTTAGATTAAATATTGAACTCAAATTATAACTCAACAGGTAATTTGATTAAGATGACCTTTAATTATTTTTTGGTTTATAATTTGAATAGAAAACTCTGATCAACAATTTAATTACAAAATGTTTTATTACCAACCTTTTGACAGGAGAACTTTGTTTCGGGGTCTGTAGTCTGGGTGTAATAAGTTCTTTCTTTTTCTCCTTTCCTGCTGCAGACAACACATTCTGGGCATATACACGCTTGTATCCCACTGGCGGGGATGTCAGCGGTACACTGGGCACAGGGTTGGGCTGAAACAACAAGAGGAGGTAACTCTAACACTGGAAACGAGGCTATAAACGGCAGTGGCCAGATAAATACAGAGTTATCTTTCAGCCCTTTGTAGGCGAGATCAGGAGATCTCAACTTAAGGGGGAGATTCTTTAAGTTGTCAAACTCAAAGCTTAACAAGTATTTAGCAATTTCAGAATCTTTCCCTGAAGGTTGAGATCCCCTTATCACCCCATAGGATGGAAAATTAGGTTTTTATACCCTGTTGACCCTGTCATATAAATACAAAGTACATTTATTGCAATATTGATGCTATGGACAAACTATTGTTATGACTGGTGGATTTCACACCAGGAAATGTATGGATATATACACATGTCCAGTGAAAGAGAAAGAGGAATGTCAGTATTAAACTGGACACAGGGCCATACAGACTTATCCCAGATGGTGCAATATGTCAGTGGCATGCTGCATATATATATACACACTGATAGAATGTACATTACAAAGGGAGATTACTTTAATACTGGACATTGGCACAAATTCCAATGGAAGAGGAGGTGGTAATATATTTATAAACTAGCTAGACACAGTGATCATAATTAAGCTGAACTATACAAGGGGTGGTAACTATGAAACTGGCAATACAAAGGCAGGCAGGTAGTTGTAGTACAATGGACACATTGATAGATTGTATGGTACAAGGGGAGATAACTTTAACACAGGACAAGGGGGCAATTCCAGGTGGAGGTGTTGGACTGTACTGTACGAGGGGAGACAACTATAACTGATAGTCTGTATTGTACAAGGGGAAGTAACTTTTTAATTATATCGGACACAGAAGCAGGCTGATATTGGTGTTAAGTTATCATTACACTTATGATTCAGACTCTTATTCTCGTCTGAATGTTACATTATTCTGTTTTTGTAACATTTGGAGCCTAATTACATATACATGTACCAATAGAAGGTTTTATAATATCACTTGCGTCTTATGGTAAACAGTTTGTTGGTGGAGAGGTAAACTTAGTAGAACAGGACTAGTTAATTGTTGGTACCCATGCAAGTACCTCAGTTGCCTATGAAGGATGTCTTTATTTCCTGGGCTGGAATCCTAGTCTGACTCTTGTGTTTTTATTTTATTTTTCGTTTCAAAACTATTACACTAACCATGGAGCAAAAACAACAACAGAAAAGGGGATGTTACACAAATGACATTAGGAACATTTTGAGTGGGAGAGTCATGAGAAGTGTATTGTGCATGTCTCTCTACTTACCAGAGGGGGCGTCGCTATCTTAGTCACACAGGACTTTGGCCGGAGGGGCAGTAACTTTGTAGTGGGAGGGTCAGGGTGCACGCCTTCATAATTCAGGCGTAGTTGGGACATATTGTGATACAATTCATTCTTGGCCGGGTCAGTATTCAGGCTCTGCTTCAGGAGAAATCGTGGAGCCCTGCAGGAATATCACACAGAAAGAAACATTAAAGCATAATTAAATTCCAGCATTAGACCAAGAACAGAGAAAGTTCATCGATTGCAAATTGTTTTTCAAGGAGGTGCAGGAAATAAGTTTGATTTTTAATGTTCAATCATCTGGAGACACCAAAATGTTCCTTATATGCAAGCTAGCTAGGGTTCACAATAAATGGATTTGTAGTAGAAGTGTTATTGAATTTAAGCTTTATGTTACAATATCTACCAAATGTAGTGCAGCATTACTTTTTTTTGGAGTGTAGAAATGCTTATTTTCACCAAGAGGTGAATCTGTGAGTTCAAAATAAAGCACATAACAACATTCTAATCAAGTAACATTTAACACACCAATCAAAAGAAACAACTCAACTGTTTCACAAATATCTATTTTTTCAGTGTATATTATATGCAAAAAATATTTGTATATAATGTGTGCAGTATAGAGTTAAAATTGTATTAGGAGAACATTTTCAGGGTATTCTCAAAAAGGTTGCTTAATTGCAGGGGATTTCTTAATGTAACAGCGATTGGGAAATTTGATATTTGGTCTATTAAGGAGGCTCCACCCTTTCGCAATTAGCCATCAGAGTTCAACGAAAGTTTCACATAATGATTATGTCACTATGTAGAGATGATTTTATGAACATCTAAGCATTCCAATAAACTGGACATATCACGTCACGCACGTGTACTATTGTTTACCCGGTGTTACTTTAATTTACACTACGGTAATGGAATGCCCGATACGCAATACGGAAATGACGACACAAAAATAAGACAAGAAAAACAAGTGTATTACGAAGGGTGGAAAGTCCTTAACACAAGTAGTCGCTAAATATAGGTGTAATAAATCTGGATAAGGTTCAAATTGACATAACATTCTCTTCATGTAAACATATCTCTACATAAAAGTGTATTTTATAAAGCATACACAACTACCTACCAGTACAGAATCAGGGGTTCTGCTATTTTGTTGTGAACTAGCTGGAGTTTTGCCAGAGTCCATGAGGCTGGTTCAGACAGCCCGAGGTTCTTCTTCTGTTCCACAGTTAATTCATACACAGCACCTGGCCGATGATAAAGTTCCCTCATCTCGTTCAGATAACTGTGAACACAAACAGAAGTTTTTGAAATTACAATGTACAGGGCAAAAGATAGCATTCTCAGGCCAAACATAATTAAAGTTGTGTTTCCTGTTTTGGCTCCAAAAATATGATATATGTAGGTATGGAAAACATTTTATTTCTTCTTCTATTCTTTTTTATAATGGAAATATTAACTGTCTTACATTTATGAAATGCACCCTACAATATTATGGTTAGTTTGATTCAAGTCTGTTAAATATGCATATTCAATTAATTTCAGAACATGTGAATCCCTAAACACAGGTGACATTTCTGTTAAAACCAATTAACCATTTCCGAGAACAAAATACAATGTACCTGTATTTCAATCGAAAAATTGTGATGATCAAGGTGTTTTTTAAAGTTTTATTTCCAGTAAATAAAACGTTTAAGGGTCAGATTTGAGAAAATGAAGTTTCTAGAAAGTAGAATAGCTAGATTACTGGGAAGGTTCTGGGTCAATTTGGAATTAAAAAGGGAAATCTGTCACCAAAATATCAAAACTACTAGTAGATAGAGGAACTACAATGTAGTATACATAGTGGCTGGATGAATGAGGGTTCACTAGTGAAATACCGCATAAACCAAGAAAATAGCAATTGTTTTATCACAATGTCTCCAGATGAACAAGATAATTTTGCTGTCGGCAAGTTTGGGATTGGAACACACAAAAACTTGCACCTATATGGTGTAACACATCACATGCACCATAATATAGTGCCAATGTTTTAAAAGCGCTAGACCAGGGATGATGTTCTCATAGAATTTCAGATGCAGTGACAGAGGGATTGACAGATGGAAGGACCACTCAGGGAAGCAGAGATGGAAGGATTAATAACTTAAGGAGATGATTTTGTATGTACATATGAGAAACAAAACGGCTGATTTAAAATGACAAACATGATACTTTGCATGTTACAATGAGAATGCAGATCCAAAATACTGAAAAACAACTTTTATTGACATTGAAACCCATCAATATCTCAATAAAAAAAAGGAAATGTAACTAAATTGTCAAGCAACATTAATTTGACAGTCAGCTAGGGAAATAAAGCAAGTTGTGACAAGACATAATTGATGTCTCCGTAATAAAACAAGACATTTAATTTAGATTTTGTAGTATTGAAATAGCAATTTCTAAGGTGCTGTTCTATAAAAGTCAGTGCAAAATTGAATTGTACAGGCGACTCGACAGCTCAGGTGCTGCCGACCCTCTGTCTGTGTCAAGCTTTTCGGATGTTTGTTTGAATCTAGAAATCAATTCAGAACTTTAGATCATAAGCCTGTTACATATGTGTCGGCCTTGTACAATCCTTTGGTATGGGGTGTTCACGTTTGTGTATTGGGGGATCCCCACCGCTGTGTATAAACAGCTACCTAACAATGGTGACATTCCGTCTGTTGACTCGGGAATCTATCTCCTAAAGGTGTGACTCTTATGTCTATATGGACAGTAGACTAAGGTGAAGTTATTTCTAATTGAAGTCACATACAACTCACACATTTAATACACCCCTCACAATACCCTAGATCAAACCCTCTCTGTCACTTGGCAACCCGCAGAGGTCAAACATTTGTAAACAGAACTAAAACGAGAGCCATGTTTTCTTTTCCCATGAATGAAGTATATTTTGTGTACAGTTCTTTGTATATGTTATTGACTGATCCATGTAAAGTGTATGTCCGTATAGCGATTATTTAAATTTCAGATCTAGTCACATCAAAATTTCAACGAAATACCTTATCAATTCTTACTATGACTGGGGTTTTTTTAATTTGTGGAGTGCTATATATGTTTTACTCTATGAAATATTAATCTTGTTATGAATCAATTAAAACTCTAAAATTTCCAGGTAGAAATGACACCTAAATGCATTTAAATTAAACCAAAGAAAATATTTATAAACATTTCACTGTGAAGTATAGATGTTATCTTCTAAATGATGATTAATCATAGACATTGTATAACATCCGGGTAGGGGTGAAAGTCGACATTCACGAGGAATTTACATAAAGTAATTTAAATTCCATAATTGAATTATATGCCATCTTGATTAATGTAATGAACTTCAATTTGAATAAAGTAATTTATATTTCGCCATTAAATGTTCACTACGGATTTTTTTGTTTTCATAAAATTTCATCTGGAAGGAAAAATCCTGTCGTGTTTATATACATATAACTGGTCATTCCTGAGTCACATGACCACAATATTATACTTCAAGTTTATAACACAGATAAAAGCCACATGAAATTTGATTTCAAGTGTAGAACCAACATAACTATATATACCCAGCAGTTTTTTACAGCCTATACATCTAAAGAGCATTATATATATAGGCACTTAGGTATTTTATTGCATAACGTGTATAGAAAATATAGATCTCAGGTGTGTAAATACCTATATTGCGTGAATTAGTAGCAGTCTTTAAACCACTTGACGACTGACTATCACAAGGGCAAAACCCTACTCGACCACAAGTAGTAAAAAATCAGGTTTCCAATACCCTGATTATCTATATGGTGTATATGTTGTGGTATATATTATCGGTGATAAAACCCGTGTATAAGCTGTCCATGTTTGTGTCCCGTGTACAGAGACATCCGTGTACAGAGCTATCAATGTATACGTGTATATAACTAATATTTACAATTCTGTTGTACAGCCTCTAATTCAACCTATAGCAACTATCAAAGGAAAAACCAAGGACTATCACACTTTGATGTTTTACATTGGGAAACTGTTCGGGACTTCCCGTTATACTTTTTAGAGCAATCGGGAGATAATGATGAAGTGACATCCAGTTCAAACTTTGACGAAGACAATGATGAAGTGACGTCCAGTTCAAACTTTGACGAAGACAATGATGAAGTGCACGTGACGTCCAGTTCAAACTTTGACGAAGACAATGATGAAGTGACGTACAGTTCAAACTTTGACGAAAATTTCTGTTTCTGATTGACATTTGTCGACTGATGCAGATAGTAACATTCAGTAAACGGTTTGTTTAAAAATGTGTCATGAACCATAAGAATCCATTCAGACAGATAGAATGGAATTTTGTTGTTTTTTAACATAAATATGAGACTTGAAATGCATATTCTGGACAGTTATAATGGTGTAAAACCCAAAGGCTTACAAACATACGAAAGCTAACACATATCATTGAATACGTTTGTCAGAAATATGTCTTTTATCGTACCATCAAAAATGTTAAGTATACCCAATCCTTAAATATAATCTATTACCTGTTTATAATCGATATAGATCTATCCCGACCAGGAGGTGGTATGATGTAATATTGTAATACCCCAACTGATATGTTACCCGAGATTGTGACATTACAGTTATTACACAGAGACTGAAATCAAGTCTAATCTATCAAGAACATTACGGAAATATTTGGTTGTCATATCTGTAAGATTTAAAATGGACAAACAAAAAAAAATGCAACAACAAGACAATAGTGAATCATAGATAATGCCACAATTCACACTCAAAACCAATAAAGTTAAGGGGAAATATGAACAAAGGAAATGTTTACATGCAAACCTTTGAAAAAGTGAATAGGAGAATAAGACCAGGTGTTCCAAAAGGGTAAGCGTCTTCTGCTTAAACAACGACAACCACAATGTAAATCTGATCTAGGTCAAATCCAAGTGACATCACATTCTCAGCGTGAAAACCTCAGCAGTCATTACAAAATAAACAAGAGGCCCATGGGCCTTAACGGTCACCTGATATATTTATACAGAGAGTTGATTTTGTTTTTAACATGAACAGAAATATTATTCAAAGTGACCAAAAACAATAAAACCACCTTACTCAATATCTAGCATACAGATTTCAGACTAAAAAGGATTTGAAACTAGCACCTACAGCCCTTGGGGGTAGGGCTGGCTCAAAATTTTCAAAGTATCAAACTGTCAATTCAAGGTTATAATTCCAATCAAGTTATTAACATGTAATATTCAAAGTATCATTTG